AATTCCATTTATGATTTTAAATTTTATTTTTTTTGACAAACTATAATTACTACCTTATAATTATTATTAATGAAATCAAATGGTAGACCATGAAGAGATATAGTTTATTCTTATTTAAGTAAGCAATGATGAATTGCCACAGGAGGGGACATGAAACATCATTAGAAGCCATAAGTTTTTGCAAGGGATAATATTCGATAACTAAAATTTTGATCTCCAATTATGTTGACTCTAATTATCATTTGTATTTAAAGGTCATCAATTATCACATTGTACTATAATCCTAAAATGATAATATTAATTATTAGCTGATTTTGAATTTATAGCTATATACATAAGGCATAAACTTAAATGTTTACAAATATCACTGAACTATAATCCTGAAATGTTAATATCACAATTATCAGCTGATTTTGAAATTCACAGCTAAAATACTCAAATGATAATACAAATTATCAACTGATTTTGAATATTTATAGCTATACACAAAAGACATAAACTTTAATATGGTTTCAAAGGTGAAAAAAACGAAAGTTGGCTTAAAAAAAAATGATGCATGGCGTTCTTATTATTTTTGATAGGAAATTTGATCGTGAGCATTCTTTTTTTTAAAGGTAGTTCGATATTTTTCAATGAATTTTTAGAAATGTTTACACAGCACTAATTATTATAAAATAATAAAAATGATTATAATTTTTTTTTTGTTAGAATAATTCTGTTTAAGATTTATTTTATTTGTTTTTTTTGACAAACTCTACTAATTAAATAATTATTATTTAAGAAATCAAATGGTAGACCATGAAGAGATATAGTTTACCCTTATTTAAGTAAGGAATGATGAATTGCAACAAGAGGGGACATGAAACATCATTTGAAGCCATATGTTTTTGCAAGGGATAATATTCGATAATAAAATTTTGATCAATTTTGATCTCTAATTATGTTAAACTCTAAATATCATTTTTATTTAAAGGTCATCAATTATCACATTGTTACTATAATCCTTAAATGATATTATTAATCATTAGCTGATTTTTAATTTAAAGGCATAAACTTAAATGTTTACAAATATCACTGAACTATAATCCTGAAATGATAATATCACAATTATCAGCTGATTTTGAAATTCATAGCTAAAATACTCAAATGATAATATAAATTATCAACTGATTTTGAATAATTTATAGCTATATACAAGAGACATAAACTTTAATCAAAATATGAAAATATTAATATGCTATGATATGGCTTTAAAGGATAAATTTTACGTTACTTATCTATATTTAACAAGTACTTTTAAAATGAAATGTACTTAAATTAAAATTAATATTTTTGTTTCATGGATTATATTAGATATAAGTTTTTTTAATGTGAATTAGTGATCTGCATCGAGCCTAATTTTTAAAATCCGGCCAGCCCAAAAATAATTTTATAAAGTTTAGCCCGGCCCGAACCCGAAATTTTTTTTAAAAAAATTTGCCGGCCCGGCCCGAATTTATTTAAATATAAAAATTAATTTTTATAATTACACAAAATAAACGATATATGTTATGTTGCATCTACTTTCTATAAATAAAATCACATATTTTTATTTTACATAAAAAAATTCAACATAAAATTGATAAATTTAGATATATTTTAAAAAATTTCCAAGGCCCGACCCGGCCCTACTTTTGCAGATCTCTAATGTAAATAATTAATAATATTTAAATGATAATAATTAGAATGGCCCAAAATAGGCCTAGAATTAAACAAAACCAAAAGAGAAATTTGCATACTCAACCCCGAGATTCCCCTAGACTCATTTAAAGATTACAATATTATCGAAATCGAAGATATCCAACTCTTGGGCTCCCCACTACTAAATAATAAAATCTCGGAAAAAACTATCGATAAAACCTTCTTCGAGTTGCAAAACTTGGAAAAGTTTATCAATCATATCCCATCGCACCAACTTTTTTATCTATAAAAAAATGCCTATATTTACCTAAAATCTCACACCTCTTCCACTCATCCTCCTCATTCACCTCCTCAGAATTTTTCACCAAGCATAATATTCGCTTAAAGACCTTAATGGAAAGGATCCTTAATCTTCCATTATCAGACTTTAATTGGCACCTTGCTCAATTACCCGCTGAACTAGGCGGTATCGACCTGATCCCCTTAGAATTACTCTCCCTATCTCTTTTTATCTCTAATTGCCTTTCGCTCAATTCCGCGATCTCATCTTTTATAACCCCCAATGACGATCTCTTAACAGTAGCAATCGAAAAATGGAATCTACTAACCCCAGACGGTCAAACATTCCCAACCGAAATTTCTAATAAATCAATCTTGGAACCCCTTATAAAGAAACTTCAAAATAGTCTAAACCCCTCCGATATCAGCAATATTCAACTTCTTCAATTAAACGATAAATATGGCGGATATGAATGGCTCGAGGTACTTCCAAGCCTAACCCCTGATAATCTCTTAACCAATGACCAACTGAGAGTTACCCTAGGATTTAGACTAGGATGCTCGCTAACACATTCACACACTTGCCACCTTTGCAACCTACCCGTACAACCAAATGCAAGACACGGCCTAAACTGCTTCCGTAGCCAAGGTCGCCACCTCCGGCATAAAGCAATAAATAAAATCATCCATAACGCTCTCAATAAAGCTAAAATTCCTAACATTCTAGAACCAACAAACCTCTCTCTACCAGATGGTGTCAGACCTGACGGTTTAACCTGCATCCCATGGTCCAATGGGAAATCCCTAATTTGGGACGCTACCTGTGTCTCTTCCTTTCCCTCATCAATTAATTCAAATCCTCTTACTAATGGCGAAAATAAAAAAATCAATAAATACTCAATATTAAATAATTTTATTTTTCAACCCATAGTCATCTCAACTAATGGTAATTTTTCCCAATCAACATACTCATTTTTAAAAATTTTAGCACGTAAAATTTTTAACATAACAAACGAAAAACGCGAGTCAATCTTCCCTAAAACAAAAATTACAATTAGAAATTTTTAAACATAATTATACATGGCTCTTTTTAGAGCCATCGATATTTTTTAAAATTTACACTCATTTTTAATATATTATTTATGAATTGTAATTAGAAGATTTATTAGATTAATCAAAAAATAGTCAATATTTTCTAATCATAAAATTGAAAAACTTAGTTAAACTTTAAAGCAGAAAATAATTATAATGAGAAAAACTAAAAATTACGTCGAATTTATTAGTAAGTTTATTCGACAATATTTATTACAAAAGTGGTGCCGTGACCAAATAAAAGGTAAGTCTTATAGAAATTAATAAAAATAATGTTATAACATATTAATTAGTTATTAATCATAGTCAAATATTTTTCCTATTATTAAATTATATAATATTCTTATTTTAAAAAAATTATTGGACGTTTGTCCTACTTATATTGGGATTTTCTTAATTCGATTTACCCAATATTGACAAATTCTGGAGAATGTAAGTTTTGTTAAATTGCAAAATTTATAGGCATAATATTTAGCGCCATCTATCATATATTTAATTTATTTTATATAGCAAAATATTTAAAAGTGGAAATCTAAATATTTTTAAATTGCTTATTAGATAGATATACACAATTTATTTTATTATTCATTTAAATTTTTTATTATATTGTCTTAAATTTATTTTTATTTGTAGGAAAGTTATGACGAAAAATGAAATTATAATCTTTATTTATGTCATATATATTGTTCTTTTTTTATATAATTATATATTTTATTAATTATTAAGTATATTTAAAACATAAGATTCGATTCTTAACCCTTGAGACAATCCATATAAGAAATAAGGCAGTGTTTTAAATAATCGATTTTTTTATGCTTAGATATTTATGATTTGAATGATTTTTTTAACGATTTATTTAAATTAGAATGATTTAAATGATTTTTTTTAAGGTGTGAAATTTTATCAGTTATTTATGAATAAAAAATATGCCATTTTTATAATAAATTTATATAAATTCGATTCTTAACCACCGAGAATATTCGCAATAAGAAATGAATATGGATAAAATTTTAAAGTATTCCATCTCAGTCATTAATTTATTTTTCATGATTTTATAATATTTTTCAAAAAAACATTCATCTATCTAATATGATTTTAAAAATGATTAATAAATATTAGGTTCACATATATAAAAAAAAAATTAAAAAATTGTATTAATCTTTATTTTAATCATGAAAATAACGATTTCATTATCAAAATTCTTAATTGTATTGAAATACCATTTAAATTTCTTAAGAAATTTTATGCGGTTCATACGAATCTCATAGTATTTAAAAAAGTTAATACTTAAAATCCTGAAAATTTTATCTTATGGATTTTTTTCACAACATAAAATTTAATTTACTCTGGATGAGTACTTTTTGAGATAAGAAAAATTATGAGCGGCGTTATTTGTCAATAAATTTTTAGAAATGTTTGCAGCACTAATTATTATAAATGATAAAAAATACAATTCCATTTATGATATTTTTTTTGACAAATTCTAATTACTACCTTATAATTATTATATATGAATTCAAATGGTAGAAACCATGAAGAGATAGTTTACCTTATTTTAGTGAGGAATGATAGTTTGCCACAATAGTGGTATGAAGCATAATTAGAAGTCATATGTTTTAAAAGGGAAAATATTCGTAAAATAAAATTTTGATCTCCAATTATGTTAAACTCTAAATATCATTTATATTTAAAAGTTATCAATTAGCACATTGTACTATAATCCTTAAATGGTAATATTAACTATCAGCTGATTTTGAATTAATAGATTTCACCAAAGGCATAAAAATATAACAGAACTATACAGTGGCCCCTCCCTCGAAAAAATGTTAATGACACCCATAAATTTCAAAAATAATTTTTATTGCATCTATAATATAAATAAAATGCAAAAAATATATACTTTAAAAATATTATTTTTAAATTAATAATTTAGATAAATTAGGGGAAGAGAAAACGAAAGAATTTATAATTTCATCAATATTTAATTGTTTAAATAAATTTTTTCCCTGGTTAAATTATTGAGAAATGGATCTTTCATGATGATTACGAAATCTTGTTTTAATTAATTTAATTTTACTCATGACTCTTTCGACAGTACATGAGGTTGTAGGAATGGTTATTAAATATTTATATTAAATTGTTTAATTAGAGAAAGCAGAAAAATTTAAAGGTAGACGATAAGGTAAAATAAATGAATAGTTTTTCCAATCTGAATCATAAGTCCCTGAATTATAATCATCAGAAGAAGCTAAATAATGTATTGGTAAAAATATTATAATTAAATAAATTTACAATTCTCAGAATCTGACAAATCTTTCTTGAACCTCTAGGTCATGAATAATAATTACATCCCCCATTTTGGCCATCTTATAAATATTTCTAAACTTCAACATTTCTTTGAAAATTTGACTTGTAAATAGTAAAATTCACAGATATCCTTGATATCTTCTTTAATAGTTGACTTTTCTACCATTCCCTTTGGTGTAAAAAATGATGTTTGATTTTAAAATTTCATCAATTCATCATTAAATCTTTCATTAACTGCATAATAATCAAATCAAAGTGCAGCATAAAACACACCTATTTTAAAGCTAAAAAAATTATTATATTTAATAATGAAAGTATATATATACCTCTCCATTTTGGATTGTAATGTTTGAAGTCTAGAACTTTCAAAATCAAAAGGTACTCTCCTTCATAAAATCTTGTGCCTTTGAAAAAATATCCAAAAAATTAAATGTAATTATCAATTAGGATTAAAAAATAATAAAAGACAATAATTTATATTATACTTTTCAAATTAATCAAGCAATCTTTTGTCAATTGAATTTGATTTATTGCAAATCCTATATTCTTCAAAATGGTTTGCAATTTTGTCCAAGCCAAACTTGTTATCAATAATATTTTATCCAAAACACAAAGTGATAATAAAATCAAATTTTTCTACTCTAAAGACTATAGCACTAGCCATAGTAAAAGTGACAAATCTTCAGAATCCTTTAAATTTGTTAAAGCTGCCCTCAAGGCATCATAAAGTAGAAAAAAATTTAAAATAGCTTTATAAGAATAGACGATAGCCAGCTTCTATTTAAACAAATAAGATAATATTACTGGGTGGTATTCTTAATGCATAGAAATTGTTGCGATTTTGTCAGTGCATTACTCTGATATGCTTTGAGCACCTCATATCTTTTAACACCATTAAAATATATATAATCTTGTCTAATATTCCTAAAACATTTCGTAATTTATTTATTGATGACATAATTGAACAATGATTAAATTTAATCGATGACAATAGCACCAAATAAAAGCTGCCTTTGGCACCTCCGCTCTAATCAAAGCGGGCACTCCATTGATTCTTCCACTCAAGTTTGAGACACCATCATAGCTTTGCCCAACTAGGACTACAAGAGGTAAATTCATGGAGCCAAGTTTGTATATTATGTTCTTTTTAATATCGAGACCATTTGTATTTCCCATATAATGTATGTCTATCAGTCTTTCAGTGAGCTTAGGCGTCTCACTATTTTCATATCATATTATACACTGGGGAGACATCCCACAATTAAGTGGGCACTCCACCACCCCATAGAGGGCGTCTCCAGTGCAGTGAATTTGCATTCACTGTTTGGCAGAAAATTTACCCTACTGTCTGGGTCCTGTTTAATTTGAGTGGGATGACAGGTACCACTCGTGGATAAGCCAGGATCCACAAAGTTGACAGTAATTTACCCTACTGTCAGGGTCCCGTTTAATTTGAGTGGGTTGACGGGTACCACTCGTGGATAAGCAGGATCCACATTGTAAATAATGTTTATTTATTATAAAAGATAAGATAGGAATATGTATTAGAAAAAAGGGGAGGGTGCGGGGTGATTAAGGAGTAAGAGGAAGAAGAATTAGTTTTTGTAATTTATTTATTTTTTTTTTGTTTTCTCTTTTTTGTTTTGTTATTTTTTTTTATATATTATTGGTAATAAGAGATTCTTGTGTTAAAATAATGTTAATATCATATTGATCAAGGAGTTTCCTAAGTATAGTTGTTTTTGAAAGTAGGCCAGGAATGTTGTAGGAGTAGATTGTTAGATTTTTGAAAATTGACATAATATAAATTTTAAAGTAAATTGTAGGATAAATTTGAATTTTGAAATAGAAAAAAATGGGGAAAAAATAAGCAGACGATACTTGGAAAATTGAAAAAGCAAAAAGCAGACAAGAGAAATGATGAATAAGAAAATATCCATGAAATTGAGTTTTAAGAGAGGATTAAAGTTAAATTTTGTTTAAGAAAGAAGTTGTAATAATATTAAATGTTGATTTATATTATTTTGTTTAAATTAAGTTAATAAGTTTAATATATATAAAAAAATAAATTGTTAAAGGAAATAAATAATTGAAATAAAAGATATATAAATGATTTATAATGGTACTTGCTAAACTTTATAGTAGCTTAGGTAAAGAATTGGAGAAGATAAGAAAGAATTAAGTTATGATGAATTGATTGAGATAAATTAGTAAATAAAGAAGAGAATTTATTTCTTTGAATCTAGAAAAAATAAAAAAATTAATGAATAAAAGTAATAACTAGACAGAGATATATTATGGGTTATGTATAATCCTCAGCAATTGAAAAAAAGAGTCTCATTACTCTCCCAAACATCTTTCATACATTTGAAAGAATTTACTAGTTTTGATTCAGAAGAGTAGAAATCAGGCTTTTCATGTCATAAAAAATGTATGTAGTCGCAAATTAAATATTTAAGGAATATAGTGTGCTTGAAAATGAAATTGTGAGTGATAGAAGTATTTGTAGAATTGATAGATATCATTATTTCTCGGAGGTGGCGATTTAACATCAGCCATTTTCTGAGACATATAAAATCATATGTAATTAGGCTTTTCTTAAAGAAATCATTTAGCTAATAATGTCCTCACTATTTTCATATATTACTATCAAAGCTATTGCTCCTGATTTCGAATCATGTGTGCCATCAACTATGATTGAAAAGCACCTGTTAAATTCACATTTTGAATTTTTTTATAACCATATTAATGGTTTCAATGAGAATATTTATGTTATTATATGATATAGATTTGAATATAATTTCGTTTTTCCCTTATTTTTTTCTACTAGTACAGGTTCAGAATCTGCAATGAGTTTAATAAGGCCCATCATATTGCCTTCTTGTTGTCTATTCCCCCAGAAGGCTTGGTTACGAGATATTAAATAACCTAGACATCTTAATTCTTATGATAGAACGGTTATTCTTTCTTTCTGGGGTATTATAAATTGTAATATTGAATTTTTGTTGTGTGAAAGCCTTCCATAATCAGCCATCATATATGCCTGTGAAGATTCTTGCACAATAATATCACGATTAAATTTCATCATCATTAAAAGAGTCAGATATTATATTTTCTTCCAACACATTTTATTTCTTTTGGTAATATTTTTGGGCATATTTTGAAATTGCAAAAATAATTTATGACAAGAAATCTTGGATAACAACCTAACATCGATATTTTTAAAATATACATCACTTTTAATATATAGATATTCATTTTTTATTTTTATATTTTGTTTACATGTTTTAAAGATAAATGAATAATAAAAAATATTTATTTTATTATTTTTTTTTTAAAATAAAATAAACTTTATTCGGTAAAAAAATTAAAACATGAATATGAACATTTATATACTCTATTGAATTAAAAATATATATTAAAAACAAAAAAATCAATATAAAAACATATAATTAAAAGAAGGGAAATTAAGAGAAAAAAAAGTCTTAAATTTGTTAAACATCGACCAAAATTTCCATCAATACATATTAAATTAAATAATAAGTGGGATGGGGGGGGGGGAGGTCTTATTATTACATACATCAACTAGGAATCAATTGGATATGAATAGATATAGCAAAACAAAGGATTGAATTTAAAATTTTTTTTTTTAAAATTAAACAAAATATTTAAAATAAAATATTTAATGAAAAAATTTAAAGTAAAAATTTTTTTAAAAAAAGTGCCCCCACTCAAAATTTTAAAATAAAAATTTTTTAAAAAAGGTACCTCCCACTCAAATTTTTAGAAGCAGTTGCTTCGGACCCCCCTCCCCCCCCCCTCCGTTGTAGGAGCCACTGGAACTATATATGATAATATCAAATTATCAGCTGATTTTGAAATTCATAGCTAAATACTCCTAAAATGATAATATAAATTATCAACTGATTTTGAATAATTTATAGCTATATACAAAAGGCATAAACTTTAATCAAAATATTAAAGTATTAATATGATATAGCTATAATGGATAAATTTTATGTTACTTATCTATATTTAACAAGTAATTTGTATGAAATGTACTTAAATTAAAATTAATATTTTAATTTAAGTGGATTATAATATTTGTTAGAAGTTTTTTTTTATTATAAATAATTGATAATAATTTAAATGACAATAATTTTTTCTAATCATGAAAGTAAAAAAGTAGTTGAAAGATGAAAATATTTATAAAGAAATGAAAAATGTTTTTTCATATCCGGTTCAATCTTAATAGTAAATATGTATGAGTTCAAATTCAATGCAAAGCAAAATATGAAAATGAATAAAATTATTAAAAATTTTTGTTGAATGGAAATTGAACATTGGAAAACTGCATTGTATGGGTTGAGTCAGGCAAATATTTTTTTATTTTAATCATATTTATTTACAGATTCTATGAACATCATTACTTAATATTGATAGTAATCACAACTTACACTAAAGAAATTAAACTTAAAATCAGCCATCACCCACCTTTAAAGTAATTAAATTATACTGTAGTTCTCGGGTATAGGCTCTTTTTTTCCCCACTTCTTTTTAATAAGCCTATAGAGGTTTTGCACCTACAAGTACGTGCGGCTTGCCCACAAACGTGTAGAGGGCTCCTTATATTTTTTTACTTTTATACCCAAATTAAATTAGTCCAATTAGATGGAAATGAGGAAAACCTAGCGTACCTCTGTTGAATCTTCAACGCTAGAGGGCAGAAGCGCTATATATCACGTAGATATTTATAATGAGAAAAACTATAAAATACGTCGAATTATATAATTTTTATTCAATATTGGTGCCGTGACCAAAACGAAGTTTTGAAGGGTATCGGTCCGATCCGTTTGTCTTTCTTTAATTAATAAGAAGACTGTAATAATCATATAAAAATAATTTTTTTTTAATTAAAATTAATTTATAGTATCAATATGGTGGTTCAAACAAAGAAAACATTAAAGCATTGAGGGAAATTAAAGCAACTCAGATGGGTAAACTTATATCAGTTACTGGCATAGTTGTGAGAAGTACTGAAGTTAAGCCACTAATCCAAGTTGCAACATACACCTGTGATCTATGTGGGGCTGCGACTTATCAACCTGTACTTATAATAAATAATTAAATTTATATTAATTTGTTTTGTAATACATTATATCATTTCGCTTGAATATTTCGAAAAATTTCGTAGAAAATTGTAAAATAGCAATATTTACATATTATATTTTTTTTATCATTATTCTCAACTATTTTAGCAAATATTTTTTCTGATCCTAATTATTATTATAATATATAAATTAGTTATTGATCATAGTCAATAATTTTTTTTATTAATAAATTATCTATTGTTCTATCTTCTCTGCAATTATTGGATGTTTGCCCCATTTAAACTGGGTATTATTCTTAATTTGGTATACCTAATATTAACAAATTCCGAGAAATTTTAGTTGCGTTAAATTGTAATTTTAATCAGTAGAGTATTAAGCGCCACCTATATTGTAAACATATATTTAAATAGCGAGATATTTAAAAAGTGGAAATCTAAATATTTTTTTATCCTCATTAATCCCAAATATATTGTTCTTTATTTATATAATTATATATTTTATTAATTACTAAGTATATTTACAACATAAGATTCGATTCTTAACCCTTGAGAATATCCATATAAGAAATAAGCGAGACTTATTAAATTATTTTTTAATAGTAAACTCCAGTGAGTATTTTAAATAATCGATTTTTCTAATATTTAGATGTTTCGATATTTATGATTATTAGTTATTTATGAATAAAAATATGTCATTTTTTATAATTGATTAATAACCAATACATATGAAAAATAAGACAAAATTCGTTGTAATAAAAAACAGTAGCATGGATCTTAAATAATCATTTTTTATTTAAAAAAAGGAATTTAATACGTTGATTTATTTAAATTAGAATGATTAAAAAATTCATTAGGTGTGAAATTTTATCAATAATTTATGAATAAAAATATGATATTTTTATAATAAATTTATATAAATTCGATTCTTAACCACTGAGAATATACGTAATTATGGATCCAAATTTTAAAGTGTTATATCTCAGTAATTTATTTGTCATGATTTTATAAATATCTTTCAAAAAAACAATCATCTATCTAATATAATTATAAAAATTTTAATATTAGGTTCCCATATTTAAAAATAAAACATTAAAAAAATATTTTAATCTTTATTTTAATAATAAATAACAAATTAAAACAATTTTATTACCAAAATTCGTTTTTATATTGAAATTATATCATTTTTCATTCAGAAATTTTTATGTGGTTCATATAAGAATCTTATAGTATACTACTTAAAATCCTGTAAATTTTATCATCTCGATTTTTTCAGTTAGCTCGGCACAAAATTTAGTTTACTTTGGGTGAAGTTCATTTATAGATATCAAGAATATTTTAATCAATTTTGAGCTCAAATTTTTATTTATATGCTCCTATTTTTATATGAAAGTTGAAATTTTTATTTTGACTTGTTATTAATAAAGATGTAAAACGAAAGTTGGCATATTTACAAAAAAAAGGATGAACTGCATTCCTATAATTATCGACTAAATTTGAACGCTTTCCTATTTTTAAAGGTGAATTTTTGACAAAAATATGTTTGATATTCTTAGAAATGTTTACAACACTAGTTATTAAATTATATAAAATATATAAGGTATATAAATTTTTTTTGTTAAAATAATTATTTTATTTTTTGACAAACTCTACCTTTTATATATAATAAATTATTTATGAAGATCAAACGCTAAAAATATACATTATATTAGATAGACAAAAATTGATATTCGCGAATTATTATTCAAAATAAAATATTATTCGTAAAAATTTAAGAATTTTTTTTTTTTAATAATTAGAAAAACTTAAAATTTAAGTTATATCGAAATGTATCTAAAAAGGATACCGATACTTCTAAAATAGTATACAGATACTTTAGATAAAGTTGTGTATAGATTCAGATTGCCACATTTTTGAACCT